AATCCAAATTATAGAAGTCTACCAAGGCGTTTACTTAATACAAATAAAGCATTCTTGTACCAATAGTTTTAAAAACTTACAATCTATATATTAGTAGCTTGAAAATTTTAATTATTGAAACAGTATTAATATTTAGATAACCTCAAATATAATTTCTTCTTATAGAAATGTTTTCGAAAATGATAATTACTTTACGATTATTTTTGTGTATATCGTTACGTTTTAATATTGGATTAATATGAATTTTATTATTTTCTTTGTTGCTATTTATTTTTATTGCTCAACCTGTTTACTTCAATTTGTTCTTATTGAATTGAACTTTAGCAGTTAATAACTTGACATATTTTTTTAGGTCTTTAATAACGGATAGTGTTTTTAGTAATTACATTTGTAATAAAGTTACAATGGCAGTGATAACAAAATCAACACGTTCAAGAAAAGTACTTTGTGATATCAATTTTTGAGGGTGATCTTCTTATTGAGTAGAGCATGCATGCTATGCCGGAAATGCATGTCGATATAGCTTCGTAATAATTCTCAACTACAATTTGCTTAGGACTGTTCTAAGGATTGAAAACGGGCAGTAAATTATTAAATTTTAAGTTCTAGTCTATAGATAATTAAAATTGTTAATACAACGTTTTCCGTTTAATTTAAAAATGGAATAAACTCTAAACTAGGCGAGATATCTAAATGATTGGAGAAAAATGGAATATTTCCTTTTGTTACCGTGAGCTTCAGTTGCTAAAATAACAGAATTTTTCCTCGTACAGCTGAAATATGTGTGATGTTCTGATGCTCAATATTAATTCTGGCATAAACTTTAATAAATCAACGGATGACGAACGAATTAATAACTCTATCTGAAGGCATAATTCAGAAGCATGTATAAAATATTGACATGATCCTAAAATAAAATAACCTTGCTTAAAATTGTTTGCATTAGCAAAACAACAAGATATGTAAACTGTAGAGTGATTGCTTTTATCGTTAAATGGAAAATTTGAATAGAGTTTTATAATAAGACAAATATGCCCAGACTAAAATCGCACTGAAAAATTTTTAATTATTATTTATGTCATTGATAAATATACAAATAGCTATCATAAGATCTGTTCATATTTCAAATTTAATTGTAGGTTTTCGAACAATTTAGATTAAAATATCACTAGAATTTAAATAGAGACACTAAACTTTGTTGTAAGCTCTACCCATGATATGAAATTGATATTACTGCTTTGAAATAATCCAATCGCTATTGTTATTATACTATATTGGTATTTTGTTGCACTGCTGTTTCCGAGAATTACGAATTCTGAATAACGGCATGATAATAATCAAGTTGTTATTATGTCTTAGTTTAACTCTTGACCAGTCTTATGAATATCAGCAATTGACCCATAGCATAGAATGATTTGGGCAGGGACAATTGCACTTAATTCTTTTTGTTTGGTTTATAAAAAAGTTAATTTAAAAAGAATTTCAAGATTGTAATAATTCCGTTTGATCTGATAGAATGGATTTGCTATCATTTAACTCGATCTTCTGAAATTGAATACAAACATGTCTGTAAATAGATTTTACTCATTTGATTAAGTTAAGCTAATGGCTGTGGCTCAATATAGACGTTACGTTGACAAATCGAGTTCTTGTAAAATTGGATTTATTTTAGTGAGAATTTCCTTAATGACGTCTGTCAATTATCACTGGATTATTTGTAGCCACCATTTAAAAGTGGACATTTCAATTTTATAGTTTATCTGTCTTAAAAATAAAATGTGAGATATTTTTATTGTAAAGCATACTTATTTAGTTAGAGGTTTAGCTTTAGAAAATTAAATGTAAAGAGATCAGCTGGAGAGTGGTTGGAGAGTGGGCATACATAACTGTCTTAAAGGGTGATAACTCTGCCTTGGGCAACAAGATTTCGTTTTCATTAGTTTTATAGATTTATACCGAAATTAAACATGCTTTTATATTATATTTATTCTTGAATACAATAAAGACGGTAATTGCGTTACTAGTTAATTTTTGCCATATAGCCAGTTTAAAAAATATGCTTCGTTGTATAGGCTATTTTAATTCAAATGACTGTAGCATGAGCATCTTTCTTTGCTTACTGATGAGAAAAAATTATCTATCTCATTAAAAATATGAATGAAATAGTTTGATAAATTATTATTATGTATTATTATTGGATAGATGATTTCATATTTATTAGGTAGAATTGAATACTAGGCTGAAGAATTATTCAGCTTTCATTAGAAAATTCTTACTACGAGAAGGCTTTTAACTTAAAATCAATAATTAGAAGCTGTTTATATTACGATAAAATTTTTATCGTAATATGTAGGGACTGAAGCTATATTATTAAAGTAATTTAATACGAGTGTTTAATTTTGGTGTCAACAATTGGACACTGTGGGTATTGAAGTAAGATATAAGCATCTTGCGTTAAGAAAGTAAGTCAACATTTGATAAGCTGAAAGATGAGATAAGATTATTTATAAGGAATCAATTAATATTATTTTGCCAACTTCTTGGTAATAATTTTTAAAATATTAGTTTAATTAGTAGGAGCAATACAATTAAAGCATAAATTTTAAATGGTTCTAATGCTAATGATTTTAACTTTTTCAAAGTAGAAATAATAGCTAATTCTACTCAAATGAGCTATGATCTATAGGTATACTGGAGTGGGTACAGGGATTTAATTAAGTATTTAATATTTTGGATGTAATTCCTGATATATTCATCCATTGTTTAAGTGAAAGTTAAATGGTACGACTATAGTATAAAATGCATTCGAACTATAACATTCTAAAGCAAGGTTTGAGGCTATTGACAACCAATGGAAACAGCCACCCTTTCAAACGATAGAAAATTTAGACGATCACCTTGATTTTGCTATATGTAAAATTGTTTTCTTTGATGCAGGTGTGTAGCAGATCAAAGTTCACATTCAAATGTTGATCTTTCAGTTTATTTGCAATATTTAACGTTTATTTACAGTTGCTTTTTACATTTACTCAGAAAATTATCTGTAGAGAAGATAACTGCATAACAGAGGATTAGAGCAAAAATTTGCTATACTAGATAAGTAAAGTTTCGTTTCAATTTTTATCGGTGCGATTGCCTTATAGGATATTTTATCCGTAATCGTAGCGATAAGTTAGATTGCTTGGGCTTAGTATAAAATTCTGTTAAAGTGTGACATTCGATAGTTTTTCTGTATTGTTCGTATACCTGAGTTACTTAACTATAAAGCGTGCTGTTAATATCCGTTTTAATTTGTTTTATTGTCTACCCGTGCCAAAATCTCTAAGTCATACGAATCACAGTCTTGGCTAAAAAGCAAAGTCCAACATATATTTTGCTTTATTACAGAATTCAAAAATTTACCATCAGTACGAGAAATTTTCACAAATCGACTAATAAATTTTTAAATTGGGCTGGACTGGTTATTGATTGAGTCATTTAATGTGTAATATGTTTCAATAGTGCAGGTGGAGGTTACAAAAAGCTGCTAATATACAAATGAATCTTAATATAATACAATAATAATGTATCTTGCTACTTCTTTATGGTATTATACTATATTGTACTCGACAGATATGAAATCTATTCAACTATCCATAAAAAAATTTGGATAGTGCCGTATTATCAGATAGCTAAAATGGTAATGGTTTAGCTCTTGTTAAGGGTAATAAAGAGACTTTCATTGCCTACAATTATATTTTTAGATTACTTTAATATGTACTGCTGTAAGCTTTTTACGGATAAAGATTATCGGAAGATACGCTTTCCGTCAGTTTCACAATCACATTCGAATAGTTTAAATTTAGAGTAAAGTAAATAAATACATCATATAAGATTCAAGACAGCGATAAATTTTACGGAATATTTACTCCTTTCTTCAGGATGTCATTAATGTTAACCTGTTTCTTAGATGTTTGTCATTTATACAACGCTATGAAAATTAATATTAATAGATCAAAATATGAGCGGAGGATAATTTCCTGTGTTAGTTGATGGGAGTATTATCAACAATACTTTGGGATTATTAAGGAAGAACTTATTAGCGTAGGTTGGTTTATAGATCATGAATTGGAATTATCTAGCTTAGACGAAGGTGTTGTCAGTAAGATGACGTTTATATTTGTCTATGATTATTCCCATAAAATATCTGAATAGCCGATAAACAATCAATTGCGGAGAAGTTAATAATTAGATAACGACTATTGATTTTAAAAGTATTGTCTATGCTATTAAAAATGATCTCAAATTGTTAAATTAATCATGAAAACCGAGTCTAATATATTATCACTTTATTCCCTGATTTGCTAAATTGTTATAGCCCTGTAGGATATTACAAAAGGAAATAATAGCCAACATCTGCTGAAAAAATATTTTAATAACAAATGATTGGGATTGATCAGTTAACAATCGTTACGCTTGCAAGACAGAGATTGATATACATCAGTGAATAAAGACTGAAACATCAATTTTTATTATTTTGGATTAAAGTTAATTTACCTATGGAATTTACGTTATATAAATGCTAATGCTGTTTCTCAGGATCATTTATTGCCTTGATACTAGCCACGTAGAAGGAAATCGGAAAGAAAATCATTATATAAATCAAAATTGATATCGCCTCTTGCTAATAACGTATTCTCATATCGATAATTTACCTTTGACATATACATGCTCTCTATCTACACTTTTACTTTTCCTAATAATAATTGTTCGTCATCATTCTTAATATTGATGACTGGTTACATGAAGCACTAGTTGTTAATCTGTCTTTAAATCATTGTATCAATAATTGCTCTTGATCGTTGTATTAGCACTCGAAATCATCCGTTATCTTGATTTATTCAGTTCAAATTTGATATTAAATTCTGATATTTGCTATGGAAAACTCTACAGAGCTTTCAACATTTACTCGTTTAACTTCTGTGTCAAGCATAAATTTTACAAAAAATTTCTCTAGTCAACCTCTTCGTATTGATGTAACCTACCTCATTTTTAGTATCACAACAAGTTTCCTTGGACTTATTGGTAACTCTATCGTTTTATTGGTAATAATGTTGAATTATCAAAAATCGAAAAAGTCAATTGCAACGCATTATATAGCCAGTCTTGCTCTATCAGATCTATTGGTTTCTCTTATCTATTCGCCAACGACTATATTACAATCTGTCTATCGCGGCTATTGGATTATGGGTGCCTTTTTGTGCTACTTTTCTCGCTATAGTCGTTTCATTGCTATGTTTGCGAGCATGCTAACACTAACCACGATTGCTTTTGATCGCTATCAAGCAATTTGTAAGCCTTTGCAATGCACACGAACGGTAGTTAGAACTAGGAAAATCATCTTGTTTATCTGGCTGACGAGTTGCGTTATATGTTCACCAGATCTATTTCTGATGGATTATAGTCGTGAAACTCGATATCCAGTTCATAATACTTCATATCTTTGTCGATTTGGGCTTAAGACAGGGCTTTTATTTCAGGAGGTTTATACTTTATTGAGATCGGTCATCCTTTTCTATGGTCCATGCGGAATCGTGATCGTTTGCTACGGTCGTATAATCTGTGAACTGTTACATAACGATAAAATTTTTAAATGCAAACAAGTTAATTACCTTAAAAAGCGCCAGGAGAAAAAAAAAGTAGTAATGCTGGTAAGTAATATCGATTATGTCGCGAAAGTAACTACTATTAATTACAATTGCTGAAAATATGTGACCATAAACTTAAACTGGAGATATAATGTATTGGAATTTTCAATGGCTTTGCCAATCAATACTTGACTTCTAATATCTAAAGTAATTGTTAATTTAGTTAAATTTATGTGGAAAAACTAAATGGTATGGCAGAATGCACTCTCTTTATTTACATCTATTAAAGATAGAGAATTACAATGTATGATTATTACCCAATCGTATGACATAAGACAGCCTAATTTATTGATACATTTGCGTACTCTTGTTCCCGTAGTTTTGATAATAAGACTATATGTAATGTAAAATTTTTTGATAGTCTTATCTACTTCAACTGATACATTATACTCTAGTAATGGCTAATAATGGGATAGTACAAACCAATACTATAGTATCTCGTCGGCGAAATCTAAAAATTACAGCACTATAGGCACTTCAGTATTTGTAAATTGTAAAAGATTGCGTGGTTATTAATTTGCTTTCGGGTGAGCAACGAAACAAAGACTAAAATGTTATTTAGGTGTCAAATAAGGTGATTAGGTATAACGTATATCCCTTTTCTTACTTTCGCAATCGAACTCTTTACAATAGACTTGTGCTTTGTGCTAGCACTGCCAAAAAATTTGATGAGAAGGAAATTGATTAATACAGTGGATGTTGCACATTAACGTGTATGGTTAATCAGTTACTTTCGTTTGGCTATCAATTAAACTACCATTCTCTAAGATAGATATTCTAAAGATTTTTCTATTGGCATCAATATTTCTTAACTCAAAACTTGAAGTAGTTGTCATCTAGTAAGAGGACTGACGTCCGCTTTTATTCAAGTAAGCAACACCTTATAGCAGTATTGTACGCTAAAAATGTTTTTTTAAATTGCAGCAGTATTTTATTGCTACTATTATCTTGCAGCCTGCTATTCTTTTATACCTGCACAAGAAAGATTTATAGCCTTTCATTGGAAGTATCGTGAAGTAATATTGTTTCTTAGCCAATCAATATCGCGATATTGAGCATCCGGTGAAGACAAACACGATTATTACCCCTTTTCAGTTGTTAAAATAAGGGTATAGATCAATTCTAAGGAATGATGAATTAAAAAATAGCTTCTGAATCCTTAAAACTCTTTAAAATGATAGATAATGAAACTCATCTTATTTACAACTAGATAATTATAGTACAATTGCAATGCTTCTTAAGCGCTCAGTTTCATTTAACTTCTTAATAAATTCTTCTTCTTAAAGTCTTTAGTATATTTATACCATAAATTGAAATATTCGGAGCTGCTTTGCTAGAGATTTAGTATGGGATCCCTTATATAATTTTAAACAAAGATTTCCATGCATTAAATAGTTATCATGTATGCAACAAAAAATGCATAGGACTAATAGTATATAAATTATGGACCCTGCTACCTTTTGTTATTTTAATGCAAGGATGAAATACTTGAATTTTGATCGTTGTCTTTGCTTTAATATCTTTATTGCAGATGATTTTTATAACCGTCTTTTTTACTTGTACATGGGCGATATATTGGACATATTCCGTTTACTACCGTATAAATCGCCC